GGGAGGTGACCAAACCCGGCCGGCCCCCTCTGCTGGTCTCCCTCCCCAAAATGACCAAAATAAACCCACCCACCCATCCCCGGGCTCATCCCACCGCCTCTGTCCCGGCGTCCGTGCGGGGATGGGGAAACTGAGGCACGCGGGTCTGACGCTGCAGGCGGGGATGGGCCGGGGGCTCTGCCTGTGCCTTCCTACCTGTCCAGGGGGTCACACACCCTGCTCTGCCCCTCGGACCCACCAGGCACCCCCCTCTGTGTCCTCCATCCCCCAGGTTCCCTCCCCAGACTCCCTGCCTCAATTAGCAAGCGCTCCCTCTCTGACTAATTACTTTGCTACTGTCTTTATGCATTATTATTCTAATGATGATTGATTATTACCCTCTCCTCCCATTCTTGCCGTGCCCTTCCCATATAAAACCACGCACGGACCCTCTTGTTCTGGGGACTGACCAGACCCGGTTCCGTTCAGCACCCACAGGTTCCCAGGTGCACCCACACCTCTGTGTGTGCCCACCCTGCAGCCTCACTCATCCCCTTTTCTCCCCCATCCCACTCTTTTCCCCATTCCCCCCTCATCCCTCCAGGCTTTCCTGCTCCCCCCCATTCCCACTCCCTCCTGCTGCGTTTGCGTTTTCCCCTTTGCTCTTGCACTTCCTGGGGTTGTTGTTTCTTTTTTTTACATCCCTCCCAACGACTTTTCTCTCCCTTCTCTCCTCCCATCCCGGTGATGGGAGGATTTGCTCCCACTGGGACTCACCAGGCATCACCTGGTGCCATCGGGCAGGGTGACAAACCCTTTCCAGCCCCCAAATCCTCCTCAATCGCCTCCCCCCCTTTTTTTTTTGGATGGAAAACACCAAAACGTTCCTGCTTTCCCGGGTGCAGCCCCAGGACCAGCTCAGCCCCCACATCACAGCCCCTTTCCCCTGGGACCCACCTGCCAACCCCAACAAACACCCTCCCTGCCTTCCAACCTCTCCCCCTGACACCTCCCCCTGGCCAGGCCAGACCCCCAGATACTTCTTGGAGGCCAAAACCCCATAAATCAAAACTCCACCACTCCGTGGTGAGCAATATCTTATGTAAAAAGGTGTTTCCAGGGAGAACCAAAGGCTGGAGAATCCTATTAGGAGGGACACGATTAATTATAACGAGTCAGCCCAACCTACTCCAGCCATTTTTTATCCCAGGACCAGAACCTGATTACTCTCCACCTTCTGCAGACCTTCCCTTTCTGGAAAAAAAACCCACCAAAAAACAAGGGGAAAAGGTCAGGGAAAAAGAAATAGAATAGCATTGATGTTTGCCCAACAGCTTTTGAAGTTTGTTCCCAGGGGTGATGCTGCTCTGGGAAGGGTCTGGGAGCTCCTGTGTCCCCAACACTCTCCCATGGGGGTTGTTTGCTGGTGGTGAGAAGGGCATGAGCATAGGGTTTGGGGTGACCCCCCCTGAGCACCCCAGCAGTGAGCTTTGTCTCCTCCTTGCCTTGGTGAGGGTGTGCTTTGGGTGCTGCCAGCTGTGGGGGTGGGTTTTGGATGTCCCTGGCAGGGACACGGGGGTGCAGGGTACCTGGGGTAGGGACACACACCCTGGCAGGGTTGGGCATGGTGGGACATCCCCCTGCAGCTGGAAGCCAGGGGTGAACCCAAGGTGTTGGTGGCATCCTGGGACTGCTGGGGTGATGGGAACCCAGTCTGCCATGGGGATCCCAGTCTCAGTTGTGGTCCTGTACCTCCCACCCTGGTTGTGATGGGGACCCATCTTCTGCCAGAGCCAAGCCCCAGGTGGGTGTTTGCAGGGACAGGGAGCAGCAGCCCCCAGATGGTGACCTGGGGCAAGGATTAGCTCCTGCACCCAGTGGTGGGATGGGTCCTCCAAGAGAGCCCTGTCCCCCTGGACACAGCCCCCCCCAGGCTTTGTGTGGAAGGTGGCAGCTTGGAGGACACCAGTGCCACCCCAAATCCCTCCTGCATCCTGTGCCCTGCCAAGGGCCTGTGGCTGGGGTGCCCCAGCAGGCTGGAAATTGCCCTCAGGGGTGTGCCTGGGGAGTAATAATAATAATACTAATAATGCAGCCAGTGACCTAGTCCTCCATTTTATAACACTCAGGATGATGCTGGGAGGATGTTCTGTAGGACCACACTGCCCTGCCTTCATGAGAAACACCCATTACCTCCTAACCCCCACAGCCTGGAAGGGCTGGAGCAGAAGGCAGCTGCTGGCTGCACTCCTGCCTCAGTTTCCCCACCTGTTAAAAGAGGAGAAGGTGCTTTGCTGGGTGAGTGGGGAGATTTTTGGTGTCTCTGTGGTGGCCCCAGGTCCCTTGGGGTTTAGCCCAGCCCAGCTCGTTTGCTACCCTGTTATTAATGTTGGTAATGGTGTAGGAAGGATAAATTCCACCACTTGGCTGAACAGAGAAAATATGCAGAGAGAGTGGCTGGCTTTTCATAAATCATTGGTGCTCTGTGCTACAACCAAGCCAGGACTTAAAATTCAGGTCAGGAGAGAGGGACTCTCGTAAGCCAGAGAGGGAAGGTAATTTATTCTGTTTATATCTCTTTACTGCAAGACAAGGAGATGGGGAGAGGGGTGTGTGTGGGGGGAAACTCTGCCATGATTTTGCATTTTAAATATTAGTTCAGAGTTGCAGCCTGTCTTGGACTTTATTTGCTTTTGTATCTCAGAGAGCAAGAGAGGGAAAGCAGGAGGGAGTGGGGAGGCAGACTGGGGTGATGGGGGGGTTACCCCCCCCCCCAGCTGCCCTTGGTGCCCCCCAGGGCAGATGGGGCAAAAACTGCTGCTGGTGTTCATGTCCCCCCTCCTTTGGTTTGTCCCCCCTGGTGTCCCTCCAACAGCCCTAATTGACCCCCTCATGGCTCCCCCCAACAGGGATGCTCTGCCAGCAGGTCTGTGGGTGCCTCTGGAGGGGGGGAGGGGATTTTTTGGGGGGGTACACACACACCACCTCCCCCACCCCATGAAGAGGTGATGCACCAGCTGTGGGGAAAGGTGCTGAGCTGGGTGATGTGCCCCTTTTCCAGTGCTGGTGGTGGGAGGGGGTTCCCAGGGTCTCGGGTGGGTTGTGCAGGGGTCGGGGCACCCGTCCCACCCAAAGGCACCAAGGGAGACTCAGCCAGGGATGCAAAAGGAGGGATTGTCCCCCAAAAACCCTGCTCAGGGGGACAGGGTGGGGAGGAGGGGGAGCAGGGCAGCCCCGCCGGCTTCTCTTGTGGTCTTGTCTTAATAAGAAATCAAATAAATAATAATAATAAGAAAAAAAAAACCATCACCAACCCCAAACCACCAAATGAAAGGGACCAGGTGACTGAACAGTAGGTAACTAAAAGGGTTTTTTTATTCACATTGAACAACAAGAGCCATTCACCCCAACAGCCTCCGCAAGAGGCAGCGGGGACAGGAAACCCACGACGCTTTCAGAAAACAACTTCTTTTTTTTCCCCCTTTTCTTTCCTTTTCCATTCTCCCTCCTTCCCCCCCTCCCCTCTCTATCCTCTCCCCCCCCCCC